TATTAAAGCCCAAATATGCAATCTTTAATGACCTGACAACAGTATCGTAACTATATCCTTTCTTAATAAGTCTGTTTAAAGGTTTTGTTAGCTTTTGAGGTGAATACTGACATTTTTGTGCTTTGTAAAGAATATTACCATAAAAGATTGGATGTGAAATAAGTTTAAGATAACGTGGCAAAGTCTGTATTTCAGATACTATAAGCAATAGGTAAACTATACTTGGTGTATGGAAAATCAAAGCGAGACATAGGGAATGCTTTTCCAGCGACGGCGTCAACAATTGTTACGTTTTCTGCTTAAGTTAGTTTGATAGTAACTACTTGTGATAGATCATTGATATCTAATGTAAAGTTGCATTACTATCAGTACATATCAGTTTGATGACTATTTTGATGCCCTGACCTCTAGGACATGGTCCAGTGACTTTGAATTAATCAGAAATTTTCAATGTTAAGTTTCCTGCTTAAGTTAGTTTGATAGCATCTACTTGTGATAGATCAATGACATTTTGTATGAGGTTGCATTACTATCAGTTCATATCAGTTTAATGGCTATTTTGAGGACCTGCCCCTAGGACATGGTCCAGTGACTATGAATTTATCAGCAATTTTCAATGTTAAGTTTTCTGCTTAAGTTAGTTTGATCATGTTGATAGAATCTACTTGTGATAAATCAGTGATATATTGTATAAGGTTGCATTACTTTCAGTTCATATCAGTTTGACAACTATTTCGAGGCCCTGCTCCCTAAGTCATGGTTTAGCCACTTTCAATTAAGTAATTTTTAATGTTTAGTTTTCTGCTTAAGTCAGTTTGATAGGAACTACATGTACTTGTGATAGATCAATGATATTTTCTATAAAGTTGCATTACTATCTGTACTTATCAGTTTGAAGACTATTTTGAGGTCTCGCCCCCTGGGTCATGGTCCAGTGATTTTGAATTAATTAGCAATTTTCAATGTTAAGTTTTCTGCTTAAGTCAGTTTGATAGGAACTACATGTATTTGTGATAGATCAATGATATTTTGTATAAAGTTGCGTTACTATCAGTACATATCAGTTTTATGACTATTTTGAGGCCCTGCCCCTTCCACATGGTCCAGTGACTTCGAATTAATTAGCATTTTTTTATGTTAAGTTTTCTGCTTAAGTATGATTGATAGGAACTACTTACAATAGACAACGATATTTGTATGCAGTAACATTACTGTCTGTACATCTCAGTTTGTCGTCCCTTTTCAGGTCCTACCCACTAGATACTGATCCAGCGAATGAATTAATAAGCAATGTTGCTGTCTATCAGATTATCTTTTTCGGAATTTTATGCAGACAGGCGAGACATATCTCTGTGTCAATAGTTTATTGTGATTTGGTCTAATTTTCAAATACTATAAGTATAAAGACCACTGTGTTCGGTGTATTGAATGTTCGTAAGTTGTACAGGTCTGTCTTGCAGGTTTCATATGACCTTTACCTTATTTTCATGGTTCATTGGTCATTGTTAAGTTTTCATGGTTTTGTCATTTTTTATCAGATAATATAAGCAATAGATCAACTTTATTTGGTGTTTGAAATGATTGTACGGTATACATGTCTGGTATAGTTTATATGACTTTGACCTTTTTCATGGTTCATTAGTTAATGTTAAATTTATGTGGTTTGATCTGTTTTTCAGGTACTATGAGCAAGAGGACCTCATTATTTGGTGTAGGGAATGTTCGTAAGGTCAACATATCGTTCTGGCATGGTTTATGTAACCTTGACCTCGTTTATGGACCATTGATAATGTTCAGTTTATGTGATACTTGTAGTAAAACCTGCATATTACAGACTTTCAACATAAATTCCATTATAAGTTGAGCAAGCGAGACATTTCAGCACGTGTACTCTTGTTTAATACTCAAACCCTCCATTCCAAAGTTTGTTTACCTGTGAATTATATAGATATGATTTTTGTTGACTTCAATTTGAATCTATATACAATGGAAGTAGGCCTTTTAGTCAAATTTTATTTTTTATTATGAACAAGACCAATACAGGGACTGGACCTGCATAACTGCATGTAATTCTTTGAGGTAATGGGTATACAGGAACACACCTGATCATTCAATGACCAAATATTAAAATCATGCACCTCAGTAGGAGCCAAGAAAAGTTTGATGAAAATTTCCTTGCAAAATGAGTGTTGTAAATTTCAAACTATTGGCAAACGAAGTGGCTACACGGCAGATTTAAAAGTTGCTTACTTGCTTTATCTCAACATTATCAATCAGCAGACTTACTATTAAATCATTCTCTTTCATCGAAGCCAAGAAAAGTTTGAAAAAAATTTCCCTTGCACAATGAGTGTTGTAAAATTTCAAACTATCGTCAAACAGGAAGTGACTTAACGGCAGATATAAAAATTGCTTACTCGCTACAACTCAACATTATCAAGTTGCTGCCAAATATTGAATCAGTCATGACCTTTCATAGAAGCCAAGAAAAATTGACGAAAATATTCTTTGTACAATGAGTGTTGTAAAATTTTAAACTAATGGCGAAAAGGAAGTTGCTGCACGGCAGATGTAAAAATTTCTTACCCGTAACCGCTCAACATTATCAAGCTGCAGACCATATATTAAATTATTCCCTTTCATAGAAGCCAATAAAATTTGACTGAAATTTTCCTTGTACAACGAGTGTTGTAAAATTTCAAACTTAGTCTACTGGCAAGCAGACAGAGGCTATACGGCAGACGTAAAATACCTAACTCGCTACAACTCAACATTATCAAACTGCATATCAAATATTAAACCCTTCCCTTCCACAGAAGCGAAAAAAGAAAACTTAAATCAGATAGACGGAAAAACGGACAGTCAAATGGAAGGACAGAGTTGAGCGGTTACTAGACCTGCCTCCGCCTTCGTCGACGTAGGTAATAAAATGAGATGTTTCTCAATACATAAATTTTATTAACTCGGAAAACTAAGTTTTTTTTTGTCTGTACCGTTTGAATTGATTCAAATATGCTTTATAATATTAGCATTAGAGGAAATATATTACAAGTTAAATATTAAATAATTACATCAGACGACATGGGCTACTTCTTTTTAAAGGCTTGTAAAGAAAATCAATCTGTTAAAATGTATTTATTACATTATTACAAAAAAAATATACATAAATAATCAATTATAACGATAAATTAAAAAACAAACAAAAATCTCAATCTTATTGCAAAAAGTAAGAGTATCAGAAATATGTGTCACAGTTCTTCAAAAAGACTGATTATCCAAACAAATCCTTGGAAAATAAAATGCCACTTTAACTGGATTATCTCCTTAGTTTCTATATGATGGTCTAAACCTTTTTACATCCAAGGTAAAGTTGTTTGTTTTGGATGAAGTGGCAAATTCGAACTGGCTATTGCCTATTTAGTTTTTTTTTACATTTTTTTTAGAAATAAACATAATTTTGATACATATATATATATGATGTAGACCTAAAAGATCATTTAATGGCAATCTTTACATACAAACTTTTAAACAGTTCTCTAAAAATAATAGTAAATGCGATAAAAACAATATTTTTAAAGACACTAATTTGTAATCTTAACCTACATTCACCATGTTCACTGATATATTTATACAATAAAAACAAAGATCATTTCTATGAAGTGTGAAATAAATGCAAGTGGCAGTGTAAAACTTATATTAGAAATGTTATGAATTGTTACATGCAAAATTGTAAAACAAAACAAAAAATATTTCAACAAATAATAAAATAGCCGCTTATCAATCATAGTAATTAATAACATGATAAATAAATATTCTACTACACCACTCCATTGATAATGACATTTATTTACTCTCGATGGTTTAAATTTGAAAATTAAGCTATCATGAGTGGATAAATATTGTAGTCAACACGGTGGTACAATCTGTTTCTCTAATGATTTAATTGAAAATGCTGAGTGCAGTGCTATGTATTGATATGGCAGTATATTACATAAGACAAAGGAGGAAGTATGATAAAGGCACTGTTTGGTCCTTGAATAGAAATTAAAAAGTCTGATCAATCTATCAAATATCATCCTTCTGATTTTCACAATTGTTGTCAAATATGTCCATTTCAACATGATGTTTATGATGTTAATGATGTCACAGTGACATCATTACTGACATTTCTGTTCTAAAAAGGTACCGGTTATATCATCCTATTCATTTAAACTATAAACATAATCCTGAAAGTATTAGAAAATTTTAATATTTTTACAATTTTAGGGGTAAATGGCTCCTACCATACCTCCTCCTTTACTCAAAGTGTCCCCCCCCCCCCCCCAAATTTATCAAACTGGTCAGAACCAGTTGAAATGCATTCAAACGAAGTTACTAATACTCCATCATTTTGCTGAAGATCAATCTACACAAATTTCGTTTTGCCCCAATATCTAACAATTCAAGTAACTAAAGATATCTTTTCTACTAAGTGTTAAGATAGTTGATTTTCCACCATTTTCTACATAAGGAAATGCCTGTACCAAGTAAGGAATATAACAGTTGTTTTCCAATCGTTAGATGTGTTTGAGCTTTTGATGTTGTCATTTTATAAAGGACTTTCCGTTGGAATTTCCTTTAGAGTTCGGTATGTTTGTTATTTTACTTTTTTTATATTTATCAATAGATGTACAACCCTTTTCAAGTATTGTTTTAAAACTAAGCTAAATGTGGCGTTTACTTTTCTTATATGGCAAAATGTATTTAGAATTAGGTTTACTCACAAAAGAATCTTTTGTATCATTAATTTACCTTATTTTCATCAAAATCAATCACTCTGTTTAATCCTATTCCATTTGAATCTTTTTTGTGAAAATATTTTGCTTTTATTTAAATTGCTTCCTATCCAAAATTTTTACCATGTCTTAAAAGTTTCACAATTTATTACAACAAAATCGCTGCAAGTTTTGTTTATTCGACATTGATTTTCGGATTGAAAAATATTGATTTACCGGTAAGTGATGCCCAAGTCAATATACAGAACAACACATACATTGTTGAGAAAAAGCAGGACTCATGATACAAAAAGTATACTCTGATAGCATATGCCTATATTGGTCAATCAATTTTTCTCAAATTAAGTTAAGAGGGGGGGGGGGGGGGTCAGTGAAAAAACTATGTGAATTAAGTTTTTATCCTACATTGAACTTTTGATGTTGTCCCTTAGTTGAGACTAGAAGTCTTTAGAACCCTCACTTTATTGTGGTTGTAAATGTCCTTCTAGGGCGATGTCTGGTTCAAATAGCTGAAAGTGCGTTATAAGCGTTTTTCGTGCTTAATTTACTTTACGAAAGAGAAAATTTATTGTCCGGATTCTGGCCACATATTTTAAGCATTGATTACGATTTCAGCCATGTTTAAAAAATTGCCCTCCTAATGATCAATTAACAGGGAAAGTTGTTTCTACCTCCTTCTACATTTCGTATCGGCGGTTTTCGTGGCTACCAGATGTTTTTTTCAAAGAACACAAAACCCACTCAGGTTAAATTTGGATCAAAATTGGCAACTCTTTAAAAAATGAATGTTAAAATATAAAAAAAATTAACGATGCAAAGTGATGACAAAGCTCAAAATAGCTCCCGACAAGCTGTCAAACAAGTAAACAGGGGTTTCTTAAAGTTTCCTGTATACTGGTATTTCAAAAGGTATATCATCTAATATACAGTCAGTACAGAACAAAGGCATCCAAATGTTTTGCAAGAGTGATATTTTGCATGCACATGCAATCTGATGTGTGTCAAAAAGCAAATCTATTATAGTACAGAACAACGGTTATGGCCAGTACCTTTTCTCTTTTTTAAGAACGTTCTCATCTTTTTCTCGACTTGCGCAAATACTATATCGCCATCGGTCAGTTTTCCCAAATACTTTTTCAACTTTTCGAAAATATTTAAACATGACTGCAAACTGTACTCCTGTATGTTAATCTCTGATATATGCATAAGTATTCCAATGACTAGATCAGCTAATCCTGCCTGTGCCTTGTAAAACCGAGCAATTTCAGCATCAGTTCCAACCATTGAATGTTCCCATACGTTTTTACTGGGAAGACAAATATTCGGTAAAAACTTGTTTCCTGAGGTTTCTTTTAAATATTCAAGTACCTTCAAAATGCACGAATGAATGCACTCATTTTCGGTACAGCCTTCGAAATAGCAGTGGTGTAAAATAGACGTTTTGATTGCATAGGAGTCAAAACACAATGCAGACAACGTTTTACCAATAACCTTTAAAATTTTATAACACTTAATGTGATGTTGACTCATTTCACGAATCATAAATAATTCAGATCTAGTAAACGAAAGTTGACAGCAAAAATGTTCAGAATATATGCCACAGTTTTTCGGAACAATATGGCAACCATCGTTCCTGACATACTTGTGCAAAACAGGTGGAACTTCCTTTAGGATTTCGTTCATTTTATCTTCTGGAATTCTTATGCATGGCATCATATCTACGTCAATCAAGCCGAAATCCGGATTATTTTTCAAAGTTTCATTCGAGAAACTATCCCACGAGACAGAAAGACATTTCCAACCAGCTCCAACTAAATACAAATTTCCAGTTGTCTTCGATATACATTTTTCAACTTCCTCATATGCACAATTCTGGACAAATTCGAAGTAATTGTTAAACGAAGTAATTTCCTCTGGGCCATTTAAGTGTTTTGTTGGTGAACAACAAAACGTTTCACCTGAACAAAATTCTTCCCAACGATCTCTGTGGTGGGGTGAAAGGGTTACACATCCAGGACAGCTATTCGTCATTTTGAATTCCGTTTCAAGAGAAACAATATCACAAACAACCATATAATCGAATTCATTTGGATTTTCTATTTTTGTTTCTTCATAGTATCCTCCTGTTGGAAGTAAATCCGACATTAATAGCTGGGGATCTTTTGAAGCCAAATACTCGCAAATGTTCTTGATGGCATCCTTGATAGCCGATTCTATATCCTCTATCTCATTTTCATCCCGAATCCCAAACGGACATTTATTTTCATGTAAGTCGAGTACAAAATTTTCTACAGACATTCTCTTTTGCCAAAATTCTGAAAGTGAAATATTTCAATGAATTACTTCAACATGTATATGTTTAACATTGCACTGATATCATTATATCAGTGAAATGGTAATTTTAAATTGAACAATATGTGCAAACTTAATTTATGTCAGTAAAACGCTTTTATAAAGTATGAAGATACCTAGGGCAGTGTAAATAATTCGACTAGTCAAAAAAGCAGACAACATCGTCGCCAAAATAAAAAGAAAAGACTAGAAATTACAACAAACACTTTGAAAACTAGAAAGGTAAAACAATAAGAATCCCCCTAAAACCAGGGGTAAACTCAGGTGCTTCAGGAAGATATGAAGATATTGTTTCTTGAAAGACACCCGTCGTGTTGTCCACTGTCATGTCAGTTAAGAACTCTCACGAAGAGAACGGGATATAGTTACGACAAGGGGTAGGTCCTTTACCTTCTATGAAACAGACACTCCGTTATGGTCAATCAACTCAGGCATAGCGACCACACAACTTTCGGGATGATTTCTTTAATCTGGCAGTAACATGCATGTGCGCATAATCAAATAGTTGTTGTGTCGGCAGCAATCCTCTATGCAGAAAATTACGATACTGGATGCAAGCTCTATCGTAACATTACATCAATAATATGGGAATTTAAAAAAACTGAACAGTATATTTAAACATTATATCTTTTATGGCAATATTCTATACAAAGCACAAACATGTCGTCATTCACCTCAAAAGCTAACCAAACCTTTAAACAGACTTATTCACTAGGGATATAGTTACGATACTGTATTCAGGTCAGTAAAGATGGCATATTTTGGATATAAAATTGATTCACTCATAGGGTCGTTGCATCGGAAATAAACACATTTATTCTTAAACCAGTTGTTGGCATGATACGGGTTATGTTCATCTCATATATTTTATGATGGTATGATACTAAACCCCCTAACGGGAAGGATTGTGCTTGATTTTCATATGATTAAGACAATCTTTCAATCAGTTTAATTGAGGTCTGGAGCTGGCATGTCTGTAACTGCGAGTAGTCCTTTGTTAATTTATGTACCATTGTCATTTTGCTTAGTTTCTTCTGTTACCTATGATGACATCGGACTCGGACTTCTTTTTAACTGAATTTCACTGTGCGTATTGATGTGTGTTTGTTTATTCTATATTGGCTAGAGGTATAATGGGAGGGTTGAGATCTCACAAAACATGTTTAACTCCGCCGCATTTTTGCGCCTGTTCTAAGTCAGGAGCCTCTGGCCTTTATTAGTCTTGTATGTTTTTTAAATTTTAGTTCATTTATATGTTTTGGAGTTTAGTGTGATGTCCATTTGTACTGAACTAGTACATATTTTTGTTTAGGGGCCAGCTGAAGCCCGCCTCCGGTTGCGGGATTTTCTTGCTGTATTGAAGACCCATTGGTGGTCTTGGGCTGTTTTCTGCTCTTTGGTCGGGTTGTTGTCTCTTTGACACATTCCCCTTTTCCATTCTCAATTTTATTAGTAATATGGGAATTTTAAGATTGATCAATGTTTTAAAAAAACAATAAAAAGAAACCTATGGCAGTGTCAAAAATAAGACAAGTAAAAAAATAATCTTGATATATTTATACATGAGCTAAAACAAAGTATGAAAGATACGTTTGTTACTGTTAATGCGTATTTTAACAATCCATCTAAATGTATACTTTAAAGATATATAGATATATATATGCAAGTCTAAATTGAAAACAACGTTCAAACCTATGATTTCAAAACCGCAATTTTTATACGTGTGCATGCAAAACAAATTTCTTGGTAGAGGGGTCTAAATACAGCACAAACAACATTTTCTAAAGACCAAAAAAGTGAAAAAGTATATTTTAACAAAACGCATTTGATATTTATATATATATGAAACAGATATATTGCAATTTTATTTAGATAAACCTGTTTATCAAATATATACAACTTATGTATGCAAATACCGTATTTCTGTCCATAGTTTCAATATAGAGACAGGCAGATATTACAAAATGTAGATAGAGAAAATAGGTTATATACTATGTGCAATAACCCTATTATTGAAGATAACTACCATTTTTTTAGTTTTTAGACTGTTATAGATATAGTGATCTAAGAAAACAATATATTAAAAAAAATTATTGGCCAAAACCATCAACTTTTAAACTTATAGAGTTGTTTTCAGTCCATAACATGAAAGAAGTTAATAAGTCAGGTACATGCTTGTTCACAATTGTAATATGAATGAAAAAATCCGTAATATATAGTTGTATTCCTTATTTAGCATTTGGTTATAACCATTCTCCGTCATATATGCTTATGGTATAATGATTGTAACTAATATTGCACTGATGCATTGAATATTTAAAATTTAGAAATGGATATTTTATAAGCTAAATTGCTTTTGAATAAAGTATTATTATATAAAAGGAATAGTCAATACCTTGCATGCAATCTGATGTGTGTCAAAAATGCATGCAATTTATTATAGTACAGAACAACGGTACGTTATGACCACTACCTTCAAAGAATAAAAAAGAGGGATAAGGACAAAACAGAAATTGCAACAAACACAATGAAAACTAGAAAGGTAAGACAATAAGATTCCCACTAAAAACAGGGATAAACTCATGTGCTTCAGGAAGATAAGCAATTATTGTTTCTTGAAGGACACCGTCGTGTTGTCCACTGTCAGGTCAGTTAAGAACTCTCACATCAGAGAAGAGAACGGGATTTAGTTACGACCAGGAGCTAGGTAGGTTCTTGACGGAAGCTCTATCGTAACATTTTATCAGTAATATGGGAATTTAAAAATTGAACAGTATATTTAAACATTACATCAGTAATATGGGAATTTTAAGATTGATCAATATTTTTAAAAAGAATAAAAAGAAACATATGACAGTGTCAATAATAAGACAAGTAAAAAAATAAGACAACATCTTGGCCAAAAAAAAAAAAAAAAGAGACAAAGACAAACAATAAATTACAACAAACATTGACAACTAAAAAGGTCAGACAATAAGAATCCCACTAAAACCACGGGTAAACTCAGGTAGGTGATCCGGGAAGATAAGCAGTTCTAGATTCTTGAAAGACACCGTCGTGTTGTCCACTGTCAAATCAGGTAAGAAGTCTCACATCAGAGAAGAGAACGGGATATAGTTGAATAATATATTTAGACAGTAAATCAGTAATATGGGAATTTTAAAATTGAACAATATATAAACATTATATCATAATATGGGAATGTTAAAATAGAATAATAGGTACCAACATTGGTATTTACTGTAACAAAATTAAGAAATAATCCATGCAAGCCATATGATTGTTGGAAATTTTTATAGCAAGGACAGGCATTATATCGGTGTTTTTTTTTTTATCCAGTGTAAAATATACGAATCCCATGTTAGCTGCATTGGGCCTCGATTCTTCGAGTCTCAGGGCCAATACAGGTATTCACAATTATTTAACCGGGCCAATACAGAAATAGCCAGTAAATAACACTATAGTATTGATCACTTGAGGAGTATATACAAGGGGGGTAAATACCGGTAAATACCACAGGTAAATACCATATGCGGTTTTTGCCGCCAAACATTGCAATTTACAGTCCATAAATTGTCAAAAATATCATATATAGGGAACATATATCTAAAACTTCCTCTAATGATATCGTGACTATTGCTGATAAAAGACAACACCATCATGGGTCTCATGGCAATGGCATCAACCGCAATCAACGAAATATAGATCGTTCAAATTTTACACTTGATGATCTTTTATCTATATTTAAAAACAATCGGATACATCAATCATAATGCAAACTGGGTCAAATGCCAATTAGAAAAAAAGAGTGTGATACAATATCGTTTTTCAGTTTAAAATATGAGTGTACACGTATTACTACAGCTGTTTGTCACCATAGACTGTTCAATCGAATTGACAAACATGAAGATCATAAAAAGTATTTTCTCAAAATAACATACATTAATAGAGGTATTGATTTTTATTAATTTGTCTAGCAATTTTAATGACTTTACTGTTCAAAACTTTATACTACCATATTTTGATAGCATGGAGCCACCTATAAACCAGTAGAAGTTTAATTTTAAATTATACGTCACTAACATCAGACGTCAGTATAGAAATAATGCTCCTTCAACATGATACTGTGAAATATCGTTCAACATTCTGAAAGAAGCACTACAATATCGTCCACCGTCGAAAATAAATTGGAAAGAGTGTCGTCAGGTCAAAATGATGCTCTTTCATCGTATTGTAATAATTGGTGTAAACTGGAGAAATCTGAATATTGTTGATATTCGCATATCTCATTTCTAGGATTAAAAACAAAATTCAAGTCCTTGCAAAGCGTTTTGTGTTTGTACCTGCCACAAAAAAAAAACAGCCAACAATGTTTCAGTGGTGGTGTGACGTAAATACTACACAGATTCGAAGTCCTAAAGAATGCAATTATACATTTAACTACATGCAAAGCTGTAAGTTCCACAGAGAGCCAAATAGTAAATAATCATGTCACTACAATAGCTCAGATTAAGGCCTCCTCTCAACATTTGAAGGTCCCCACTATGTATTGGTTACCTAAACTACACAAAACACGTAAAATATCGTTTCATCTCGACCTCTAGTAAGTGTTCTACTGCTAATTTTTCAGTGCTTTTAACTATTTAACTACTATCAAAGAACTTATCATTAACTTTTGTAATAAAACATATGAAAACAGTTGAATAAACTATTTTTAGAGTTAAAAAAATCTTTGGATGTTTTAGATAAATTACGTGCTTTTGATAGTCCTTTTGATTCGGTTGACAGATTGATTTTTCCCTCTTTATACCACACTTCCACACAATCTTATCAAACAAAATTTTCCCTATTAAATGAAATGGTCGGTTGATAAATTTGATTGCATTTTTTTTTGCTGCAACTCATATAAAACCTTTTTCTCTTATGAGAAAGATTAATATGCTGGATATACTTACTAG